GTTTGGGTCGCTGATGGGAGTTGGAGAGTATGTGTGTCGGTCACTAAGGTGGGTTGGTGTGTTTGTCTGTTGATTGTTGATGGGGTGTCGCTCGGTATAGTTTGGTTGGTGTGTGCTGTTTTATAATGGTTCATTAAATTATATTTTCTTGTAAATACTTTCCCGCATGTTGTGCAGGGATGTCTTTGTCGTCCGTGTGCTGTCTCTTGATGGCGTATGAAAAGTTGATTACGGGTGAACACTCGGTCGCAGATCTCGCATGTGAAACGAGTCATGGCTGGGTGGCTACTTGTTTGGGCGGCTTCCCTTATTGATGAAGTGTCTAGTAGTTGGAGGGTTGGGTAGGTCGTTGGCTGTAGAATAAAATAAATACATAAAATAAAATGCATAAAATAAAATACATACTTAAAACTAAATTGAAAATGAAACGTACCTATGGGTTTGCACGTCTAAGTTCGATCTGGGGTTGTGTAGTTGGATGTAGCTGGAACGTTTAGTTTAGTGGCTGGAACGGGGATGGATATGTAGCTCAATAGATCAGTCGATGGAGCGGCTGTCTCGTAGGGTTGGTTGTACACTAAAAAGGAATACATGTGAGTACTTATTTAGAAAAAGGTTTATTTAAAGGATATGTAAAGGATAATTCATACTATTCACCTTACCTCGGTGTACGATACAAAATTAAAGTAAATACATTCTAATAAGATTTAATTAAAGGTTATTTAAATGGTTTAGCACCCATAAAACAAAAGTAATATTAACCTTACCTTTAATAGAATAAACACGCACAAAAGATGTGGTCCGTATAGGGTTAGGTAGATGTGATGGTTGATAAAGTTGGCGTGGGTTAGTCTCAGGAGTCAACAGAGGTCTCAGGCTGGATAAGTCGCGGTGAAGTTTGGTGTGAAGTCCAAAGTTGAAGTGATTAAAACAAAATTTTCGCGGTCATTTATACGGTTGATCGGCCTAATTACACCACCAGCTGTCGCACAACAGCTGTTGCATAATGACCTATGTACTTCGCGGAGCTAACAAAGCGATCGGTAAAATCGATTAACGTGGTAACAGATGTTCCCACACTTAACGCTGGCTTCGCGTTAATTACCATACCTCCCGGTGGGATCGCTTCGCGAACCCACATAAATCACTGACGGGTGTCAAAAAATTTAATTAGGTGGGACATCATGCTGTGATGGGCCAGCGGCTGCGATCAATACATTCCCATTAAAACGGGCAGCGGTGAGAAAACTTCGCGGGCGGGTCGATACGTAACAGCTGTGGCTGATCGTTATCTTTAATGGATGTTATTCACAAAGTACACGGCTAGTGTTAGTCTTTTATTTAAAACATACATACATTCAAACAAACCAACAAATTAAACAACAAAGAAAAGAAATATATCAAAGTAATTAAATTAAACAAAGTAATTAAAATCAAATTACGTAACTAGTTAATAATAATTTAACTAATTATAAAATAAAATAAAATTAAAAATAAACAAAATAAAAATAATTAAAAAGTAAACTAATAATCAAATTACGTAACTCGTTAATAAAATTAAAATAATTAAAATTTAAAAAATTAAAATCCAATTATGTAACTAGGTCAATGATGACGTCACTAGGTCAATGATGACGTCACAAGGTCAATGATTACGTCACAAGGTCACCAAAAGGTGACCTACTTCCCCACCACCTCCGCCAACCCCAGTTGGCGCAGTATTTTACTATATGTCGTTGTACCAGGCTGCGCATCCTGCTCCACCACCCTCCACCAGGTGGTGGAGTATTTTACTATATCTCATTGTACCAGGCTCACCATCCTGCTCCGAGTATTTTACTATATAACCATTGTACCAGCCCACCAGCTCCTCCGCCAAGAATTCGCTCCAAAAGGGACCTAATATACTACTGTCATCCAAGAAATTTTCTCGCCTTGAGCTCGCCATGTCTGGAGGTCAATGAACTCCAG